GGCTTGGGTTCAAGCTAGCGAGGTGTCAGAAACACATCGAAGCGTCACAGCTGCCTATTGAACCCGTAATACGCTTGACAACTGGCTACTGAGCCCTCTTTTACGCTTGACAGCTGGTTACTTACTGAACCCTCTAATTATTTTCGAATCGAAGTATTTTTGTTCGCCCCTCACGGTGTTCGTGCTCTGTCGCTTTCGACGCCAAAAAAAACTCCAGTACTGTCGTTATGCTGCAAGTTAGAGCACGCTCACAGGAGTGCGTCCTAATAGTCATAGTAGTAGTAACATTAACATTAGTAGCTCCTCGGGTTTAACGCTTCCCTAGCAATCTCATCACTCTCGTCCAGACGAAGCTGTTCGCAGGGCTATTGGGATATCGAGCGGCGAAGACTCTCATTGATATGTTCGGTACAAGGTGACCCCTTAGACGACTCAGAAATCTTTGAACGAAGGACGGTCAGGAACAACTAGTTCCTTCTGCTGTTAACGCAACACTCGTGTGTCGCTAATTCTCCGGAACGACGTAACGAATAAATCTTCTCCGCTACGCGTATTAAAAAATATTCACGGCTTCTGTTCCCGCAATTCACGCATGGCCGCGATCCGCGCTCGAGCATATTCATCCCTTACTTACCAGAGCCGGGCCGATTTGAGGCTCTGGGCAGTTTACGCCGTCGCTGCGTTACTAATTATCGGGCTCGAGCCGCGCCTGTCTGCAGCAGAACTTATTGTTAAGAGATCTTCCGTGGCGCAAACGCCGCCCGTGTCATCATCAGCAGCAGCAGCGGCGGCAGCATCTGGGCATGAGATCGAGCCGCGCCTGTCAGCAGCAGCAGCGGCAGCGCACAAAAGCATACCCGTTACGAACCGCTCCGCTTCCGCGGCCAAGAAGCCTCACACAAAGCTCGCAAGCACGCCGCTGTTCCCGTCGATTTTCCGCGCTCTTGCGCATTTCTCCTTCGAGAATTCTCGGTTCTCTTCACTTCCAGGTTCGGTTAGCGACGTCGCGAAAACAGCAGAAATCGATTCGCAAACGATCCCTCCGTGGGAGGTCGAGCAGCGGGAGTTGGTCGACAAGTCTGAAGCGTCGATGGAAGCTTTAAACCATCCAGGAGTATATTCACCACAGTCCCGTATTCGTGTCGCTAGAGAGTTACATGAGTTGGAAGCGGCAGCGGCGGCGACGGTGCCCGCATCACTATCCCCAAACAATCCCGCTCTCTTCCCCACAATAGAATCTCGGATCGTTGTTCTCAGCGGCACGTCGCCCTCCACGATTGCGACAGGTGGACTGATCGACGACGCAGACGAACCGTCGGCGGCGGCGGGAGTCCATCGGCGGCGCGGCGGCAAGTCAAACGCGCTTCCGTACCTCGCCTTCCTCGCCACCACTGGTCTTTCTTCGCTCATCAAGCCACGCGGCTCGGCAATTTCTGCAACCTCCGCAACTCCCGCAGCTCCGGCTACAACCGCGGCATTTGAAGCGTCTCAAAGGGCATCCACAGGATCAGCAAGTTCCTCAAATTCGGTACCACCTGGCGCGCAAAAGCGCGCCGGCGGGACTCCGAGCGCTCCGCCTGCGCCTCCCGCTCCGCCAAAGCCCGCAGCTTCCGCGCCCCAATCCTCTGCGCCCGCCATTCCTTCCCCCGTCCCCGTTGGCACTGCTGTTGCAAAGGGGAGTGCAACTAAAACGAATTCTAGCGGTGGCGCAGTCAGTGTGGGAACACTTAGCAGGGAGGCAACGGGTGGGGGAGGAATTGGTGGGGGAGCAACAAGCGGGAAAACAGCGAGCGGGGGAGCAGCGGGCGGGGGTGCAACGAGCAGCAGCAGCAGCAGCAGTAGCAGCAGCAGTAGCAGCAGCAGCAGTAGCAGCAGCAGCAGCAGCAGCAGCAGTGACAGTAAGAGAAGTGCCAGCAGCATCGCAAGTAGTAACAGCCAGAGCAGCAGAGACAGTAGAGCCAGCAACAACAGCCAAAGCAGCCAGAGCAGTCAGAGCAGTCAAAGCAGTCAAAGCAGTCAAGGCAGTCAAAGCAGCCAGACAAGCCAGTCTAGTCAGAACAGTCAGGGCAGTCAGAGCAGTCAAAGCAGTCAAAGCAGCGTGAGGATTCAAACGGGTAGCAGCACGAAACCCAATGGTACCACCAGCAACACAGCAGGCTCAGCTGTCCCAGGCAACGGAACAGCCAGCAGCAGTAGCGGCAGCAGCGGCAGCAGCAGCAACCCCAAAAAGCCTGTCCCCCCACCCACTGTCCCGAATGCTACTGTGTCCGGAGCCCTGTCACCCAGCCCTCCTCCTGTCACCAGCAAGACAGCAGGCTCAGCAACTGGGCAGGGCAACGGAACAGCCAACAGCAGCAGCGGCAGCAGCAGCAACCCCAAAAAGCCTGCCATCAATCCCACTGCCCCAAATGCCACTGTGTCCGGAGCCCTACCGCCCACCCCTCCTCCTGTCACCAACAATGGTAGCAGCGGCAGCAGCGGCGGCACCGGCAGCAGCGGCGGCGGTAGCGGCAGCAGCAGCAGTGGCAGCGGCGTTGGCGGTGGCGGTGGCAGTAACATCCCCGGAATGCCTGTAATTGAATCCAGCGCCCCCAATGCCACAGTGTCTGGAGCTCTATCACCCATCCCTCCTCCTGTAACCAGCATCAGCAGCAGCGGCAGCGTGAGCATTAACAACAGCAGTGGGTTCGGCGTGGGACGTTGGGATTACCGAGCAGCAGCCACGTTCTACGGCGAACCCGATGCTACAGGAACCATGGGCGGCGCATGCGGTTACGGTAACCTGTACAACACCGGTTACGGCACCATGACCGCAGCAGCATCTATCGGTATTTTCAACAATGGATTGCTTTGCGGCGCGTGTTACGAGGTGGAGTGTCTGGGATCGCCGGCCGTGCCGCCCGGATTTCGCGTTTGTTCCGGAAACCGCGTGATTGTAACGATCACTAATCTGTGCCCGCCGGGCGGTAACGGCGTGTGTAACGCTCCGCATCGGCACCTGGATATGAGTGAGCCTGCCTGGCAGGTCCTTTCCCCGATTCGAGGCGCGGGGATTCTTAAAACGCGGATGAGGCGCGTTCCCTGCAGAAAAAAGGGCGGAATAATCTTCCTAATGACCGGAAACCCATACTATCTGCAAGTTCTTGTGTATAATGTGGCGGGGGTTGGAAGTTTATCTGGGTTTGAAGTGAACGACGGGAGTCGGGTGGGTTGGGAGCGGTTCAAACACAACTGGGGCGCGTATTACTCCAAGAGCAAGAAGTACGGCGGGAGGTCCTTATCATTCAGAGTAACTGCGAGCAACGGAGAGGTGCTGACGGTTCTGAATGCGGTTCCCGCTGATTGGTCTCTCGGGGTGGCGTATCAAAGCAGACTCAATTTCAAGGCAAAGCCTAGAGTTCGACCTCCACCACCCCCACCACCACCACCATCACCACCACCATCGCCGCTGCCACTACCATCGTTACAACCAGTGCTGCCATCAGCAGCACCAGGAGCATCAGCAGCAGTTGCTGCTGTATCTGATGTGAAGCCTCCTCCTCCTCCTGAGCAGCAGTAGGCAGCACCACCAGTAGCACCAAGCCAAGGCAATGGACCCCCCTCTCCTAGTGCCCCAACCTTTGACCAGCCCGGAGGACCCGGTTCTGGTTCGGTTACCCCCTTTCCACCAACACTCGTTTCTTTGAGGTCGGCAACTTCCATGGCTCCTCCTTCCTTGAGAAGTGTGAGTGCTACGGGTACACTCTCGTCAACACGTGCATCAAATCGAGCGGGTTTACAAACGCTACTCTCAACGGAAATGGAGGATGGACCAGATCGACGTGGTGGAATAACGCGAGAAGAATACCATGACCCACTGTTTGACGGATACATCGATGTTACTGCTGGGTTGCATGCTTGAAGTGGTGCATTTGTACAATATTTAGCTCTTTGTACTTTTTACAGGGGATTGTAAATAAGTGTATGCATTGTGGAATCCCACTTATTACAGAGCCATCCATTAGAAGTGTGTGTAGTATCCCAACGGAAAGTGAATCGGATTTCCACCACAGCAGCTCTTATTTGTTGACTGCAGCAACTGGGGGAGGCGTTTCCCTTGGTCAAGGGGGTAGCCTCGTGTATTTGGTTTGTTTTTTTGCCCGAACCTTCCACACCTTGCCCTTCCGTGAATGATCCCAGAGCCAGAAAGAACCCATTTTCCCAGCCTTCTAGGCTGGATGCTTGCTGGTCGATTTGTGTTGACTTCCGAATCGCGTTTCGAAAGGAACGGGTGGTTGGTTACGACGACCTTGTCGCGCAACGCTGGAGCGCGGATGATATGCAAGCCACCCCCGCCCTTCAAATGTCCCCCTCCAATTCCTTCGCGGCCCGTTCCCGAGTCGTGAATTTCTCAAATTGGACATATTGCGGAGCCGCATGTGGATTTGTCAGCAGACACCCGACCTTCCGCAACGTCTACCACGGGGAGGATTTTTGAAGCGGGTTTGTGAATTTCGTCGATGCCTCCCATTTCTAGTTCTCGAATTCCCATTTGGCGACTGATATTTTTTCGATTGGCGGTAGCCGCACACTCCAACCCGCTCAATCACACGAGTGGTAGCACTGAAAGCTGTTGAAACAAGCTATGAGCGCCCTTACGCACCACTTAAATTCGTCCCGTTTGGTAATTCCAGCATAGCTTCCAGGGTAAACTAGAGGCCTTTCTCACGTAGTTTCTTGTGTCATCCCGCCCCACAGCAAAGCCACCACATCGCACTGCAGTAGGCGCTCGCTCTTCCATTCCCCAATAAAGTTGACCACGTCTCATCCACCCAAGAACGTCCACCCACGTCTCAACACAGCACGTCACGACCATGACTCCTCAAAGGAGGTCGTTTGTCCCTTGTAGGCATGCTACTCTCCTGATTGCCCTAACGCTTCTAGCAGTCTTCCTCGCTTTGCTCGCCGTCGCGCCTTGCGACGCGCACGTGCAAGTCACTCCGCCCGACCAAGTGCCTGTCATGACGCAAAAGGACCTCCTTAAAGTCATCTCCAAAACCGAGAAGCAGCAAATCGAGGCGCAGATCCAATCCGCGCTCGCAAACTTCACCGCGGACGGCGGAAACTCGACGCGGAAAAAGGGAGGCCACAAGAGCAGGAACGGCAAGAAAAAGGGCCGCCAATCCGGCAAGAAGGGACGGCACCACCCCTTGCGAGGCTCGGGAGTCGTTCTCGATTCCGCCCAAGTCAAGGGTTACGACGGCGAAAACGACTCTGGTGACGGAATCGGCGAGATAGTCACGCTGCCCACGGGCCCCGGCAGCAGCGGCCCCGTTAAAGGCATGGCGCGCGCCCAAAGCGTTCTCCTTCAGCTCTCTTATATGGAGGCGACGCTCGGCACAGCGTCGAGGCGCGCGGAGGAGACGAGTTCCTGCGGGAAGTTGCTGTTACGGGCGCACTTTCAAATCCCCAAGGCGATTGAATTTGCCGAGAAAGGCGCACTGATAAAATCGGGCTGGAAAGTCGCGTTTGCGCGGTCGCTTGTCGAGGAGTGCCTTAACGCGGATCCGCACTCTTCGGTGGCTGAGCTCGCCGAGGCGGCGCGGACAGCGGCAAACCTGTTGATGCCGGACCTGAAGAAGAACGACAACGCCAACTGGCAGCGAATCCAATGGATGAAAGATCGCGAGGTGGACCCGATCGACACCAAGGGCGAAGCAGAGCCGTTGGATCCTCTGGAGATCGACTACTGCGAGAAATTCTCGGAAGTCGACAGCAACAATGTGAAGATTCGGGTGGACACGTCAACCCCTTGCCGTGAGTCGCGGGTACTGTGTGGGGTCTGTGGGAATCCCGTTGGCTATGATGACATGACTTACGAGACGACGGGAATGAGGTGACTTACGAGTCGACTCGGCAATCGTCATGGGCTCTGTGGGGCTAGCGTTGGGTATGGTGAAGCGGTCAACGGGAAACAAGCGGGAATACAAAGGGGAATGTTCCAAAAAGGTTTGTTGTGCTCGCTAGTCTTGATTCCATGTGTCCATCTTCCACCCCTCTTCCTCCTCCGTCCCCCCAAGTTTCCCTACCTCCTCCCCACCCCCCTGGCCTTCCCCCCCTCCTCCCTCGTACAGGCAGAACCCATCAGGCAGCTAGTCGTTTTTGCCGCCTCGAGTCCTGAGTTTCTTTGCCCCTCCGCCGCTCAACCTCCCCTTTACCCCCCACCACTGGCGGAAGCCGCGTGCGCCCGGACGTGCAGTACCCCGTCGGGCTTCTTCAGCGCGCGGATCGCCACTCTCCAATCTGCGTTCCGCCTCTCTCCCCCTTCCCTTTCCCCTGGCCTCTCCCTCCTTCTTCCCCGCAGGCGGAAGTCGCGTGCGCACAGACGTGCAGTACCCGTCGGGCATCTTCAGCGCGCGGATCAAGTGCCCCAAGGGGGACATTAGCGGCTTGGTTCAGTCGTATTATGTACGTTTTCTTCGACCCTCTCTTTTTATCCTCGTTATAAACCTCCTCAAATGTGCCCCTCGGGCATCTTCAGCGCGCGGATCAACTGCCCCAAGGGGGACATCAGCGGCCTGGTGCAGTCCTACTATGTACGTTCGTTTCTACCCTCGCCTCTTATCCTCGTTATAGGGCGCCTCAAAAGTACCCATCGGGTATTTCCAATGCGCGGATTAAGTGTCCCAATGGGGACTTGGTGCAATCCTACTATGTACTGTCCGAAGCTTGAGTTCATCCTCGTTATAAGGCGGTCGGCAGACAGCTAAGTAAGGCTGCAGATGCCTGATTCTCTCGATGTCACCTTCCATCCTTAAGATTCTCTTTAGCCGCATTCCGTTGACGCATTTTCAGAATCTCAAAGTTCGTCTTCCAACCTTCCTTGCTCCAATACCCGCCCCCTCCCCGCTGACGTCACTTTCACGCCTTGCAGTTATCCTCGTTAGAAGGCAGCCGCGATCAGGACGAGATCGACTTCGAGTTCCTGGGAAAGGACAAGAACCAGGTGCAGACAAACTACTACGTGGACGGCAAGGGCGGGCGGGAGGTTCTGATCCCATTAGGGTTCGACTGCTCGTCGGACTTCCACGAATACGCCATGTTCTGGAACGAGAATCAAATCATGTAAGTAAATTTTCGAGGTGCCTGAAGGGATTATGGAACGAGAATCGCCTCATGCACGTGGAACCTTGAGGCGCTTAAAGGAATTTGGAATGATAACCATCATTTATGTGGGCCTTCTCGTTAACTGTATACCTTCTTTCAATGACTGCGCCTCTCTCCCCACTCTCCCTCCTTTAATGACTGCGCCTCTCTCCCCACTCTCCCTCCTTTAATGTCTGCGCCTCTCTCCCCACTCTCCCTCCTTTAATGTCTGCGCCTCTCTCCCCACTCTCCCTCCTTTAATGTCTGCGCCTCTCTCCCCACTCTCCCTCCTTCAATGTCTGCGCCTCTCTCCCCACTCTCCCTCTCCTCTACAGTTGGCAGATCGATGGCAAGGTGGTGCGAGTGGCAAAGCGCAAGGACGGGGAGCCGTACCCGGTGAAGCCATGTGTGCTATGATCCCCATGCCTGTCCCTCTTCTCTCTTCGCTCTCTCTCCCTCTCTCCTCTACAGCTGGCAGATCGATGGCAAGGTGGTGCGAGTGGCAAAGCGCAAGGACGGGGAGCCGTACCCGGTGAAGCCCATGTACACGTATGCGTCCATCTGGGATGCGAGCTATGTGCTCGATGGCCGATGGTCAGGCGACTGGCGCGGCTGGAACGAGCCCTACATTGGGTGAGTGTAATTCTTAGTATACTCAAATCCCGTGTATGCGTCCATTTGGGATGCAAGCTATCTGCTCGATGGGCGACTGGCGTGGCTGTAACAAGCCCTACATTAAGTGAGTGATTCTCAAGGAGCAAAACAACTCACCCTTCTGTCTACCTGTAACATGACTCGCTGTTATCACACCATTCTCGTCCGTTTCTATTGTGGCGTCAGCATATTTGTGCTCTTCGTATAATTCTTATTCCGTGGCATTGCCGAAGACATGAGCAGACTATCCTATCTCAATCCATGCCTCCTTTACTCCTCTGCTTGACTGTTTATAGCGAGTACGAGGACCTCAAGGTGGTCTCGCCCGCACCCGACGTCTCCTGGTAGCACACACGGGCATGGCTGTGTGTGTGAGGCGTGGATGGGGAGGGAGGGAGGGGAGGCGCTGGCAGCCGGAACAGTACATGTGATTTACCTCATAGTACAGTACATAGAGTGCAGCGAATAAAGAGGAGCCACCAACCTCGGGCGACGTATGGAGAAACAGAAGGGGCAGCTGCAGCCATTGGAGGTTTTGAGACATCTCAAAACAAGTTGCATCCAGGGGAAGTGGTGGAGCAGAAACAGTGTGGACCCAGAGTTTCAGGCATCCTCTTTCAGAAGCTACGTGCTAGTCGTTTATATATGGATACATTCGTACTACTGTAGAAAGGTAGTCCAGCTGTGTTGAGGAGTACCGGTACCTTGCTGCTACTAGAGCAGGCTTAGTGTAGGACTCCGTTCCTGGTGCCAACGGTGCTACGGGTTATAGCATAACCTGATGTTGCTTATGAAGGGGATGTGCTGATTTTAGCACCTAACGTTGTGCACTTGTTTGCACCCACGCCCTCTCATATGGTATGCTGATTTGATGATAAAGTTCACCGCGAAAAGGCTTTATTTAGCAGACGTCCACGGGCTGTTTGAGTTGCTAAGAAACTAGTCTCTGTTGACAGAACACTTCAAGGCTTCATGGTTGCAGAAGCAGCAGTAGCAGCAGTGCGGCAGCAAAAGCAGGTCTGCCGGGAAGCTAGGCAGGGCGGCGCGGCTCGGCAAGGTGGCGCGGCTCGGCAGGGCGGCGCGGCTCGGCAGGGCGGGGCGGCTCGGGCGGGGCAGCGCGGCGCTGGCAGCAGCAGCAGCTTAGCATCAGCTGCAGCGCGTGCAGGGCGCGTGTAGGCAGCGCGCGTAGGGCCACACGCAGGCTGTCCCGGCAGAGCGCGCTCAGCACGGGCCGTAAGGGCAGCGCGAGCGGAGCCAGTGCGGGCAGTGCGCGAGCAGGGCGCGCGGTGCGCGGGCAGGGCGCCGGCGGTGCAGGCAGTGCGCGAGCGAGGCAGGCAGCGCGCGGGCAGGGAACGCAGCGCGCGGGCAGCAGCAGCAGCGCACGGGCAACGCAAACATCGCGCGGGCAGTGCAGGCAGTGCGAGCAGGGCGCGAGCAGGGCAGCGTGCGGGTCGCGTGCTAGGCAGCAAGCGGGCAGCGCGACGGGCAGGGCAGAGCGTGCAGGACAGTGTAAGCAGGGCAGGGCAGTACGGGCAGTTCGGGCAGGGCAGTACGGGCAGGGCAGTACGGGCAGTTCGGGCAGTTCGGGCAGGTCTAAACTAGCGGTGGGCCCTAACGGAGCGGTCCTACGGATGGACCCGCTCTGAATACCATGTCAGAAGTGGGAACGTACGAATGATGGACTAGGTAGCAAGGATGAGTACAAGTACTACCTAACCCTAAAGTGTTGTACCCTTTAGGGTATGCCCCGCTACAGCCTAGAGATAACAAATACAATTTGACAACACTTGGCCCAGAGAGATGTGGCTCGACCTTATCTGAATGTCCCATGACAACAGAAGGGGGCGGAAGCTGTTGCAGCAACTCATACCGGTCTGAACCTGCATGAACTGCACCAAGGCTTTCCTAATGACAGGAGCGTGACCATGGCACAGAAAAAAATGCATGAAAGCCTCTTACCGTATAAGTCCTCTTGTTGAATCACTAATAATTGCGTCCATTTCGCTTTCTATTAAGGTATTCAGCATGACCTAGTGTCGTGTTACGATTTTTTTTTTTTTTTTTGTTACGAGTGCAATTGAGTGAGCGAACGAATATTGCACTATCGAAGCAAAATGTCAGAACCATGCATTTATATGCTCAAGGCTGTAGTGGGGCACTCCTTATGGGGTACATCCCAATTAGGTTTTGCTATACAAACCTTGTACTGCTGTCATTCTAGTCCTTCTTCATTCCTACTTTCTGACATGGTTTCAGAGCAGGTTCCCTAGTGGGAACGTTTTTTTTAGGGCCCACCACGATATTTTTTTCCCTGCCCTGCCCGAAGCGCGCCTCGCGCCTGCCTCACCTGCGCCGTTGCGCGCCCTGTCATACTGCCGCCCGTAGCGGCTCTGCCCTCCCGGCCTGTCGCGACCCTGCCCTAACGGCCCGTCGCGGCCCTGACCTAGCCGCCCGTCGCGGCCCTGCCCTGTCGCCGCCCGTCGCGGCCTGACCTAGCCGCCCGTCGCGGCCTGACCTAGCCGCCCGTCGCGGCCCTGCCCTGCCGCCCCCCGTTGCGGCCCTGACCTCGCCGCCTGTCGTGGCCCTGCCCTGCCGCCACCCGTTGCGGCCCTGCCCTCAGCCGCTCGTCGCGGCCCTGCTCTACCGCCGCCTCGTCGCAGCCCTGCCCTGCAGCCGCCCTGTCGCGGCCCTGCCCTGCTGCCGCCCCGTCGCGGCCCTACCCGCCCGTCGAGCGCCTGCAGCCGCCCGTCCGGCGCCTGCCCTACCCGCGCCAGTCGCGCGCCTGCCCTACCCGCCGCCGGTGGCACCTGCCCTACAAGCGCGCTGCCGCGCCTGCCTGCCTGCTGAGCCGCGTCGCCCAGCCGAGCCGCGCCGCCCAGCCGAGCCGCGCCGCCCAGCCGAGCCGCGCCGCGCTACCGAGCCGCGCCGCCCTGCCCTACTGAGCCGCGCTGCTCCTGCTGCTACTGCTGCTACTGCTGCTACTGCCGCCATGGCTAGCCCTAATGTTCTTACCTTCGATGCTGAGGGTCGTGTGGTCGATTTCGACGTTTGGGTAGATGACCTGCAGCTCTATCTTCAGTGCGACTCTAGGGACGGAGTCTCGCTTTTCGATCACACGTCCGGCACCTCTGTAGCACCTGCTGCCACTGCTGACACTACTGTTCGCTCGCAGTGGACTACTCGTGACGCTGTTGCTTGCCTTGCTGTTCGTAGTCACCTGCCGTCTGCTGCCGTCTGCCGTCTGCTGCCGTCATGCTGCCGTACTTGTTCCCTGACCTGGCCGCCTTTGCCACAGTCGCTGACCTCATCACTCACCTCCGCACTAGTGACACCCGCTACCGCGCTGCGCTTCCCTCCGAGTTTTGCGCCAAGAACCCCCCCCCCCCCCATGTACATCACCCTCTTCTACCTCGTCACCCGTCTCCCTGACTCTCTTCGCTCCGTCAGGGACCACTTTCTCTCCCTTAGCCCCTACGAGCTCACCGTCGACCTGCTCGAGGAGCGCCTCACTGCAGCTGAGACTAGCATAGTCGCCGTAGGGGCTTCTCGCGGCGACCCTCGCGCCCCTTTCTTTGAGGGGTGTTCCCCCGTTCCCCTTTTGCCCTCTGTTGCTTCTGCTGCTGCTGTCGACCTTGTTGGCACCGAGGAGGTCGGGGCTGCGTCTGCTCCTATTGGGAGGCGCCGCAGCGGCAAGGGCAAGGGGGGCAAGGGTGGTGGAGGGGACGGCGGGGGCGGCGGTGGTGGAGGTGGAGGAGGCGGAGGGGGTGGGGGTGGAGGTGGGGGTGGTGGCGGGAGTGGGGGCGTCGGTGGCGGCGGTGGAGGTGGTGGAGGCAGCGGCAGCGGTGGTGGAGGCAGAGGCAGCGGCAGTGGAGGTGGCGGTGGCGGTGGTGCTGGTTGGGGTGGAGCCGCGCAGCGTGGAGGCTTTGGCGGTAGCCAGCGACAGCAGTAGCCGCGTTCCCGTGAGGCCCCGTCACCCCAGCACCTTCGTGAGTGGTACGCTGGGCGTGGGAGGTCTGGGGGTGTTGGTCCCTGCGCTTACGTTCTCCGCACCAGCGAGCGCCGTGGGGAGACGTGCGGGCTGCCACACACTACGCAGCGCTGTTTCGGTCGCCTGTCTGACGCCTGGCGTGCACAGTTTCCTGACGCCGTTGAGCTCCCTCGCTGGGCTGATCTACTTAAGTCTGGTGTTGCTATCTTTGATCTTGATTTCGATGCTATCCTTGCTGCCATGTATGCTGTGACTATTAGTGCCGAGGGTGACTGTTACCTGTGTGTTCCGCCCAACCCGGGCATTGAGGCTGCTGCTATAGGTGCTAGTGAGTCTGCTGCTCCAGGTGCTGGTGAGTCTGCTCTCTCTGGTACTGCGCCTGCTGAGGCCTTCCACACCTTCACACTTGACTCAGGTGATTCACGCTCCTTCTTTCGCGACAGCACCACACTCACGCCGCTCAGTCGACCGGTTGCAGTCTCCCTGGCGGACCCCTCTGGGGGCCCAGTCCTTGCGCACTCCTCCACGGTTCTGCCGTGTCCGGCGGCCCCGTCTGGCTCACTGTCGGGTCTTCACCTCCCCTCGTTCTCTACGAACTTGGTGAGTGGAGCTGACCTCCAGGACGTGTGGGTTGACCAGTTCACTCCTGGAGGTCAGCGTGTGACCCACTGTACGTGTATCCGGACGGGCCGCCACCTGGCCACGTTCGCTCGTCGGCCTGGGTCGAGCCTGTACACACTGACTACTGCGTCTCCTCCGGTTGCTGCGTCTGGTCAGGTAGCCGCGTCTGGTCGGGTGATTGCTGCCGCGTCCACGTCTGGTCCGGAGTCTGCCCCCTGCTCGTGTCGTCTCCTGTCACACCAGAATCTCCTTTGGCACCACCGCCTTGGTCACCCCTCCCTGCCTCGTCTCCGAGGTATGGCCTCCCGTACCCTTGTGTCTGGTCTCCCCCGGTCTCTCCCTCCCGTCCCACCGGGACCTGCCCCTACCTGCGTTCCGTGTGTCGAGGGACAGAAGCGCGCCGCCCCTCACTCCTCTGAGTTCCCTCCGACGGAGGCTCCCATGCAGACTCTCCACATGGACGTGTGGGGCCCAGCCCGCGTCCGTGGACAGGGTCACGAGCGTTGCTTTCTGCTGGTCGTTGACGACTACTCGCGTTACACCACAGTCTTCCCCTTGCGACGCAAGGGTGAGGTCACTGAGGTGTTGATCACCTGGATCCGCGCTGCCCGTCGCCAGCTCCGCGAGAGTTTCGGCTCGGACCTTCCTGTTCTGCGTCTGCACTCCGACAGAGGTGGTGAGTTTTCCTCCGACCTTCTGAGGGCCTTCTGTCGTGCGGAGGGCATCCGCCAGACGTTCA